CCCTCTTCCCATCCTTTAAGTAAAAACCAGATATGTCTCTGCTTCTTACGAGTCCTCATTTTGAATGTCAAATTTATTCTTACAGCTAAGAAACACGTCAGAGGATTTGGGGGTGCATAGTTCTATATTACAAATCACTGATCGATAAAGCTATTTTTTTAAGAGGTTTCTATACCATACCCATCTAACTGTTCAGATAGCCAGTCTGAACTGAATCTGGGAAATGATTCAGGTAAATAAAAACACCTCTTGTTGGTTTAAGTTTTTTGGTAACATTAATTTCAGTTGAGAACAAGAGCAGAAAATACTGCCGTTCAGTAGTATACAACTGATAGCTACCTGAAGTGTACCATTAAATGGTAAGACAGACCTATGCATATTAGAGCTGCTCTATACTGGTAGAAATAAGATACCTCCCCTCTCTTTCTTACCACTTCGTGCTGCTTAAGGACACAATAAGCGTCCTTATTTCCCCCAATCCTAGAGGTTTACTTCACCTTCGAGGCTGTTAAAATACATCCATTCATGTAGATTATCTAGGCAGTTGATATTTTGTTTGCTTTACGGCAGTACCACTATTCCTCTTTTCTCCACCTTCTGAAAGCATTTTCAGTTTCTTGCAGATGACTTGAAAAACTCCTGCCAGTCCAAGACGAATGCTCCTAAGCTGAAATGAAAGGGCTGACTCTCAGTGACTGCGATAGCATCATCTTTGTTGCAGCAACAGAAAATGAAACCATCTGCTCCTGCATATCATTAGAATACACAGATTATGCCAGGGAGAGAGTGTTTGGGGCAGAACTCCCCGCGCTTTGGGAGGACACAGAAGCTGCGTTTCCACAAGGGCGGGTAGCACTGCTGCGGGCCCTTAGGAAAACAGATGACTTCAGCATGTGGATTTGGCACGATGATGGACTAAATCGTTGGGACACAGCTCATCAGGCACAAGCGGTGCCAGCAGTTGGACTGGGATGGAAAAACCTTTCCAGCCCCATAAACGTTCGCATGATCCCACATGTCTGTTTCACCTTACTTTAGATTCCTAACATACCACAGGCTAAGAAAGTAGGAGACACAGAGCAAAGAAAAAGCAGTCTACCTCCTTCCCTGTCAGGTACTGCGTATTAGCAGCCAACGAGGCAGTACAAATAAGCCCAAAAAGAACCAAAGCCTTGGAAGCGTCTCTAGCAGATGCTTCTGTAACAGCGTGGTGTGGCAAACAGCTCATCTAAAATGAACACACATAATGAATTCAGTGCTGGGTCTTCAGTTATAAGAAACTTGCTATACCTTCCCACACACATATATTGACACCTCCCTATTTCACTCATCCCCACCAACAGCCTTTGAACTAGTTTCCATAGTTTTTACGTATCATTTCTAAATTGCTTTTAGAAAAAAGGTGGTAATGCAAAGGAAGGAGCAATTATCGCTATAATAAAGACAAGGAAAAAAGCCTATCCACAATCAGTTTTGTAAATAATTCGGCTTGGAAAAAAAACTCCAGGTAATAAATGAACAGCAAGGTGACAGAGGGTATCTCCTGTAACGAGCAATAACAGATGTTACAGTTACATTTCCAAACTAATTCTGAATTGCTTCCAGCATGCTTATTTGACATTATACAATAATAATGGTTTTTAAAAGTAATCGTACATAATTTAGCCATCTTGAGCTTTAGCACAGTTACTTATTCACAGTCAGCAGGAGCTCCCCGGGGGTTTGTTCTATGACCCGACGAGGACTTCAAGAAGAGGCTTCATTGCAGCTCATCAGTTCAACTTTTTAGGACTTTCAGCCTCCTCAGCGCTCAGATTCAGCTGAGTTATACAGCGATAGAGTAAGCTAAAATCACTACATGGCACTCTTCCTTACGATCATCTGCCATGGAATGTTGACATGTCAGCATCTCATCTCCCACCCTTTTAACAAGAAACTATTCCACAGCCTCAGCAGACCCTCCCTCACCTGGGGGACAAGAGAAGAGCTGCAGGTCTTCCCTGTTGGTATTCCACCATTCAGTTCAGCCTTCTAGAAATCTACACTAGATAAATTAATACCATAGATTTTGGCATAAAAACTTCAAGTATCACCCACTATAGCTAGCCAAACAATAGGTTTTTTTCTCCCCAAATACCTTCTACGTGAAGTCTGTTCTGCCCCCATCACTGCAACAAGGGCCATACATCTTTCAGCAAGATTTTGCTTCTCAGCTTTAGTTTTGTAAATTGAGCCTTAGACTCCTAACAGACGCCCCAACCCCTACATTGCTGTAGGATCTAGTACACTACAAAAATACCATGTACCAGATTAGCAACACTTACCTTCTGAATAAGTTGCTCCCAACCCCTTCCTCTGGAGTTAGCTAGCTTACTGCATGGTTTTGTTTGCTTTGTTGATGCTCCTGCTTTAATTTCCTCCTCTGCTATCCACACCCATGCCAGGTGCATCAAATGCAGTAAGTCCCACCTGCAAGCTTTTTACACAGATTAGGTGGTAGTGGCAATACTTTTAAGAAGTCCTTTATAGGTCTCCCATTCTGGAACTGGCTAAGTTGAAATTTTAAGCCAGGAAGTGTTTGAATGTGATGATTTTTTTTTTTTAAGATGTTTGAGTACCCTGAATCAAAAAGGACTATTTTGATAGCTACAATCCAAGCACATAAAGCAGTTCATGTTTGATTTAAAATCTTGGTTTGGCTTTACCAGGATTATTTAATACTAAAATAAACTTAAGAATACTTTTTTTTATAATTATCTGCTCTTGATTTATTAACATGTAAACACCTTCCAATATTTTAAAGAAAAAACATAATAGTAATGCAAACTTAATCTTGGATGATGGAAATACAACTATTTATCTTTAAAAAAGTAACCATTATTTCAAAATAAACATCTGACACTTTCACAAGAGATTTTTTTTTTTTTTCTGTTCATTTGAAAACAGATGTCTTGGTGCATATAAAAGGACCTGGGGGTGCTGGTTGACAGCCGGCTGAACATGAGCCGGCAGTGGGCCCAGGTGGCCAAGAAGGCCAATGGCATCCTGGCCTGTATCAGCAATAGTGTGGCCAGCAGGAGGAGGGAGGTGATCGTGCCCCTGTACTCGGCCCTGGTGAGGCCGCACCTCGAATCCTGTGTTCAGTTTTGGGCCCCTCACTACAAGAAGGCCATTGAGGTGCTGGAGCGTGTCCAGAGAAGGGCAACGAAGCTGGTGAAGGGCCTGGAGCACAAGTCTGATGAGGAGCGGCTGAGGGAACTGGGGTTGTTTAGCCTGGAGAAGAGGAGGCTGAGGGGAGCCCTCATCGCGCTCTACAACTCCCTGAAAGGAGGTTGTAGCGAGGTGGGGGTCGGTCTCTTCTCCCAAGTAACTAGTGATAAGACGAGAGGAAATGGCCTCAAGTTGCGCCAAGGGAGGTTTAGACTGGACATTAGGAAAAATTTCTTCACTGAAAGAGTGGTCAGGCCTTGGAACAGGCTGCCCAGGGAAGTGGGGGAGTCGCCATCCCTGGAAGTATTTAAAAGACGGGGAGATGTGGCACTTAGGGACATGGTTTAGAGGGCATGGTGGTGTTGGGTTAACGGTTGGACTTGATGATCTTAGAAGTCTTTTCCAACCTTAATGATTCTATGATTCTATATATTAAGATTGTGATTTTTTTCAGCTGTGCTGCATTTTTTTTAAATAATGTTGCTTATGGTCTGTTCTCTGCTCCCATAAGGGCTACATACATTCCTTCTATGAGAATTTGGTCTTCATATGGCTTTTCAAAGGATTTACTGCTTGAGTATATGTTTAATCTTCCTAGAAAATGTCTCAAAGTAAGAATAAAAGGATACAATTTTTCTTTCTAAAAACATGTTTGGAATTGTACTGCTACTTCCTATGGTGCACCAAGCAATTGTTAACTGTATTTAGCAGATATTTTTAGACAGTGTGGTAGAATGGTTCCCCAGAAATGAGACACAAAGTGGTGATCTTAATAAGGCATGGAACATGAAAGAAGAAGGTCTTGACCCTTGATAGCCAGTAGATATTTTGCTGTTAATTTTAAAGACCACAGGAACAGATCATAAGGCTATGTTTTAAAATTAAACTTAAAAAAATACAGAAAAATACCAGTTGGTACTTAAAAAATTATTTCAAGAAGGCTTTCGATTTTTTTCTTTCCCTGCAAAGGAAAATTAATTTACAATAAAATCCGGGTATTTCTCTGCTATCTGTAGTAAGTGAATGCTTGCCCCGTTCACTGTGTAGCTCACTATTAGGTTAGCAAGCAGTACTGTATATTGTAGGCATCCAGTCAGTAGCAGCAAAGAGCAGGAACACAGATTACAATTAATAAATAAGACTTTCAAAATGTATGAGTATTTTAAAAAATTTTATTTCATTTGTAATGAAACAACTGAGTTCTGCTCAAATTTATACAGTCAGTGAAATAATCCTATAAAATGATTTTTCTAGGACGTTACAAGGCACATAAATTACCAAATATAAACATAGAAAAGTAGCCAAAATAATGAACTAAGCCCCCCTATGCCTTTAGCTATTTTAGAGGTGTGTGAATGATTTACAAGAATGTGAATCACTCTACTGACAGGGTAATGAATATTTCACATTTGGCATGACCAAGAAAATTAAAAATAAGGGGAAGGAAAAGCTCAGATTCAAGAACAGTGTGGTGTTTTGTGGTGGCTCAGGAGGGACTAGCGTCTTCTGACGCTCCTCCTTGGGTCAAAGGCCTGAGCATCTTTTACTGCTTCCCCTCATGGGTTGCAGTACATCACCCCGCTCGTACAACCGGCCGTCTCTATTGTCTGCCAGAGGAAGGGGCAACCTCTCAACTCCCCCGGGCTTCTATATTGGGCAACTTTGAAAAAACAGGAAGGATCTACGTACAGATCTAGCACTGAGCATTGTCTTTAGCTTTAAAGAGTAGAAGGTGTGGGGGGTTTTTTCTTGGGCTTTTTGTTTTTTTAAAGTAATCGCTTTGGGAATTCGCTTGGTATGCAATAAGTCTTCATATTCTACTGGTTAAGAAAATCTTGCAACCCATAAAAATAGTCAATTTTTATTTCATTTCAAGAGGCATTACCAAATAATTTCCACAAATATTCATTTTCCACCTGCATATATATTTTTCAACTAGCCTAACAGTCAAGGATTCAATGTAATAAGATTTTCATACAAATATATTGTATTGTGTATTTTCTTCCATTAACAGGATCCACTCCTTTATGTAACTCTAAGTATACATTCACATATTAAAGAGTAATAATTTGGCTAAAAATATATGTCTATTTCTTATCTGATTGTAGTAATTAGCCTATCAAGGGTAATTTGCTATAAAAGATACAGTACTAGAAATAAATAGTTCTACAATTCAAAGATCTTCAAAATGGGTTGCCATTTCCAGTCTGTCTTAAATTTTCCAAAGTCCTTTTAAAGCATAAACTAAATTTACTACACTTGAGAAAATAATTTGGACCTACGTACATAGAGTCCCAATCACATGAGAAGCTTATTTCACTTAATCTCCTTCTTGGTTTTGTAATGGGCAGAAACAACCAGATAATTGTCTGGATTCATGTCCCTGAGGGTTGGAGACTTGCTCTGGATTGGAGAAGTTTTCCCATCCACTCGGGAGATCTGCAACATTCGGCACGGGTCATGCTTCAGTAAGTAACCTGCAAAAGTCTCCCATCCTCCTCCAACACGAACCATCACATGTTTGTTGTGCAGCATCTGAAATTACATATACAGGGAAAAAACCCAAAAACTCTTGAGAGGGAACCATTCACTGGGAAATCACATTTTTTGTACTGGAAAAAGCTGTGCTTACTTTAATTAAAAGTCACAGACGTGTGTTAGGAGTCTGCTTTATAATAAAAGGAAAGGAAAAGAAATAGTAGAATGGTTTTTATTTTAATTTAGTAAGTAAATTAAAAAAACTGTAAGAAAATGAGATAGTATTTAAAACTAAAGATTTTCGTATTTTATGTAAGCAATGCTTTTTCATGTTTTTCTAGTCCTGTAGCACCGAGTGATCCTGTTCTTCATGTGTTTAGTATAAACATGTTAGGGAATATGAATGTTTTTCAGATTAATTTTTTGAAAATGTGCTAGTAAGGACACCATTTTATATGTCTTGAAACTGTCTTTTCTTTATAGGATAGGGATCTATATAAAGGGAGTAGTATGGAGCAAGCAACCAAAACAATCTCCTCTATCTCCTAAAATATCAAAAAAGTTATTGAAGAAAACAAAGTACCATTTAGTTTAACGATTTAATATTGCTGACATACATTCTAACTAAAACAGACTAATGTAATTAAATTAGTTTCATGAGAGACATCGTTCTAACTAAAACAGACTAATGTTGTAATTAAATTAGTTTCATGAGAGACATCAGAAATAATGTATCTGGAACTGTTTGGAGGTACCTGAATTTATGCTGAGTTTGTGAAAGCAAATACAAGGAAAGTCCCCAGGCTCTTACTAGCGGAAAAGCTCAGTACTGCTTACGCTTGCTGTCTTTATTCCACAAACCCTGGGGCTTGACCTACAAAGGAATTTCAGGTTGAGAGGGGTATCTAACTGCCAAATTAGGTACCTATCTCTAATGTATATCCTCCAGATCCACACTCATTTTCTGCCTAAACTCAAAATTTGCACCAAATACCAATGTAACTTCTCCCATGTCTGCACCTGTGAGTTCAGTTGGCAGTTTCACTAATTTCTCTCCTCCGGTTCTCCATGCAGAAGAGTCAAATAAATACCAGTGAGGTACCGTAAAGCAGCTTATTCTATAGAAGCCACATCATAAATCAGACATTGAAAAACGCTTTGATTAGTACATCTCATGAAATGCTAAACATCATTTAGCCGTAGCGCCAGAAATTAAAAATTGGCCCTGTAAAAGGCATGCTAGAAGATGTTTAACGTAGTCGGGGTAATGTCATTTGGATTTATGGCTGTGATGTGTATATGGGCTCTTCTACATGTCCAAAACTCCCACGAGGGCTGACAGTATTTGCAGTTGAGACTTACGTGGCACATAAGCCTTTTGTAACACAGCACGGTTCAGATTAGTACAGATAGCGTAGACAACAAAACAAGAAAAATTCTCCATCAAACAAAATCACAGATAATAAAAAGGCAAAAATGTAACTCTTAAAAAAAACTCCAACCAACAAACACCCCACCTCAGCCTAAAAATCCGTTGTTTGACTTCTGTTACATGAGGAGACAGATTCACCTGGAGTGAAGAAAGCATGGAAAGCTGTACAACTTTCTGAAGTTTGAAAATCAGGGTAAGTTCATAGGGAATCGAACTCTTCATTTGAATAAGCAGCTGCAGATGAAATCTTGTTTGAAAGTTTTCATTTAAAACATTTTAATGCAAGGGAAATAATTGCTTTTGCTCCTGCATTTTGGTTTTTATGTGAAACACAGTGGGAAGTCAATTCAGCTTTACAGATACTGAAAAATAAAGTTACTTCTGATCCATCCTAATGAGAGCACACTCAAGTACTCTTAGTTTAATTAACATCTCTCAGCTACTGAGACTGTCTGTGCTGTTGCTCAGGGTTGTAGGAGTGTTAGCCTCTGCAATAGCTATACACAAGTGAGGTTTTTCTCTAGATTTACATGGATAAGAAAGCAGAATCAGACTCACATCTTCGCCAATCACACTTTTTCTCTTTTCTCTCCAGCTTTGTATTTTAGTTTCAAGACTTCATTTTGCACTGACAATGGCATGACCAGCCTTCAGCAGTATGAGATTTGAATCAAGTCTTTAGTCTGGACAATATATCATGAAAGAAGCAAATGTTTTTTACATCAAGTTTGAAAACTGCAGTTCAAATGGTGACACAGCCTTGAGACAAGAGAATCTACAGAATTTTATTTAGCAAATTCCTCCTCTTTGAATGTCTAAAAAGCATTTGAGAAATGCCCCAAAAACTTTTCATATAAAGGCATTTCAAGCCCAACTTCAGTCCACTACAACATGTGATGCTGGTGTGGGAAGGAGTTAACCGTTGCTGAATTTCAGCTTCCACATATTGTCACGGGGGGTTCCCGTTCCAAGAGCAGCTAGTATCTGGACTTTTGATTAAGAGCTGGGAATGGAAAGTTAGCAAAAAGGATATTTGGTTCAATTTCCCTTAGGGACTACTGTGCAGACAAATAAAACCTACTGCTGGTATGTTATTTCCTGATGTTCAGGTTAAATGTACATCTTCTGTCTTTCCCCTCTTTTTTCTTTCTCTTTGTACTATTATACCATTATAAAATTCATTGGATGCTTACTTTCTATAGACACTGGGTTTTCCTACATCCTAAATATAGTCATTGTTCATGCTGTGCCGTGCCACAAAAGCATCACTTTACTCCTACAGCCATATTTTGATTTTAGTAACATCAGCACAAATCCAGAATAATTCTGCTGGCTTCAGAATTGCTCCAGGTTCACAGAAGTAGAAAGGATTTCTCAACAAAACAAAACACCCCCCCACACCCCAAACCCCCAAACTCAAACTTGCTTTACTTTCTAACTGAAAAAGCAGTTTCCTCCCCAACATACACTTCACCTGAAGATAAAACTTTTGAGATTTTTATGATCCACCCAATTCAGCTTTTCCATTGCATGAGATCTCTGAGAAAGCTGGACTCTACAAATAAAGTTTGTCAGTTCTCAATGTAAATAATTTCATTACATCCATCTATTTTCACACTGCTATCCAGCCAATTGAAACTGAGAAAACCTTTTCTGTAAAATAAAATCCAACATATGTTTACAATTGCCATAAATCTTCATTATTTCTGTTGTGTCTGAAGCAGGGCTGTCACTAAAGCTGTTCCCTCTAGAATCTGTGTTTAAGTTAGAATGGTTGAATCTATAGTGAAGCAAACATATGAGAAACCAGATGACCAGACAATAGCATCACAGAGGAGGAATTACAGATTGTTTTGGTATGCATTACGGCTGTATCAAGAGAGAACATGAAAAATAGTCAATAAAAGTTAGGTGAACTAAGCTGTCACTGCATAGGACTTTGGCATCAAAGTGTAATATAGTCTAAACGGTTCTGGTTTTCACATAAATAAGTTGAGAGAGCTTTATGGCTTATTAAAGAGATGTTAGGCTGTATGTAAAGATGTTAAGCTCATGTAAATGAGCATACTTTTACTGACTTGAAACAAATCTATTCTGTTTTATAGAAACTGAAAATCTGGCGCAATATTGTTATTCTTTAAGAAAGTTATAATCTAATCTGAAGAATAGTTCAGGGAGGGGAGGGGAAGCGGGGGGAGGAATTACACACTTGGATCTGATCCAAGTACTGCAAAAGCCAACGGAAAGAATCCTACTGACTCGAAAGGAACTTGGGCTGGGCTCTGTAAGCCAAACGCAGCAACCTAAAGCAAATCATAGTCTGGAATTAGTTGGTGTGATTTTAGGCCAACTTCAGAAACGATGTAGGCTACCTGCTGAGAGAATATTGACTATAAAATCCAACAGTGTTTGGCAAAATAACACAGTGCATCACACCAGTGGCTGTGCAAAGAAAATGTTGCACTCCAAAAGTGAAGCGTTAATGAGATTGGGAAAGAGAAGAATTGAATACGTATCAATTAATTTTTACTGAATATGAGCCACTTAGACTCATTGTCATCAGTAGATATAACCCTTGTTTCTCTTATCTTAGCATTTAGGGGACCTTCTTTGAGAGGTGTTCAGCCCATATATTTTCACGCTGACCCCAGAGACATCACAGGTCAACACTAAGGAAATCGCAGTGTTGCTAAGACTTATCCACATTACTGTGTCAGACTACTACCCATAGCAAGCTGGAACATGTCACCGCCGTCACTGCAGGCTTCGAGGCCTGAGGTAAGCACACACACACAGGGTACACTCAGACATGGCACCTCTACTTTATGATTTTGCTGCAAGCCCAGCTGATGCTACTTAGGAATCATTTTGCTCCAGCTTGTCTGTACCATTTACATTGATGATCTACCCTCCTGTCTATACAAAAAAAAAGGCTTTCTCAAATCTCAGTATTCACTAACTGTTCTTAGTAAAAAGGTGAGAGCAGGGTACAAAACTTGGACCAGGAATAGGACCCAGATCTGGGCTACCAGCCTTCCGCAGTGAGTCTCTGAGCCTGTATCTAGAATATGGTATTGTCAAGTAATGACAAATTGTTCCACGGAGCATAGCTCCTGTGGACATTTTCATGGAGTAGGACATCTCTTCCATAAAAGAGACCGTGGTCTCCCTCAGTATCTTCCTAGTTGTGGCCTTAAAGATGTTAGGAGAGAACTTGCAGCCTGTGGCTGCGTGTGTGGCTGACAGAAGGTGAAGTCTTCTTGGAATTTGGTGTGCGTATGTATATGGAAGAGGAAAAAGTATTATTTGAGGACTTGAGACACTATTGCTTCAGAGAACAAGGCTCGTGTCATCAAGTGTCAAAATTTTATTCCTTCTCATGGCAAAAACTTTTAATGGTAAAGCTCTAAAGCCAGCAAAATTAGTCCTCAAGTTCCCCAGCAATTCCAATGCTTTGCAGTTACCTAGGTCCTCTTGTAGGTGGCCATTGAAAATTCTCACATCTGCCATTTAATGTGGAGCCAGGTGGGGCCCTGAGAAGACTCTGAAAGACTGGCAATGTGCAGAGAAGCCTGTCTAGCTGTATGCCTTCACAGAAGCTCCGATGATACTAGTTCAACGTCCC